GACTCGGAGCGCGCGGCCGGCGCCGCGGCGAGCCCGGCGGAGGGTTTCAAAAAGGGCCGACCGTGTCGAGGGTCCGGAGCCCTGGGTGAAGTCGGGGGGCGCCCGGGCCCCCCGCGAGTGCCTGGGGGAAAGACAAAGGACTGGCACCCCGAAGGTGGCTCGACTGGAACTGACGGGAGGCATTCCTCCTAAGTTGCGATCGAGTCGGCGGGGTCCCTTTGAAGGTTGCGGTCTCGGAAACCATCTGCTGGCGTGCAAACGGACTTTCTGCAGAAACCGAAAGGGCGTCTTCAAGAGCGGCTCACTGGTCTCTCTTTTTTCCAGAAAAAAAAAATATCTCGGTAGAGCTTTAAACGATACAAAGAAAGCAAAGTAACTCACGGGTGGTGGGTTTCAAAGGAGAAAAGGCTTTCTAAGCCTCGAAAATGTCCAACAAGACCTTAAAAAAAACAGCCCGTTTGCCAGTCACTTGTAAATGGCACTTGGCTGGTTCCCCTGGGCTGAGCCGGCAGCTTGGGAGGGGGACAGAGCCACAAAGTCACACTGGGTGGAGGCCTCAAGCCAGTTATGCCATGCATGGGTTGGATTGGTGGCAGGCCTGTCCCCATGGGCCTCTCATAGAGGGTCTCACGCCGGAGCAAACAGTGGCACCGAACCATTGCCTGGCCTCTACCTGTGGGCTGCTGCCACTGAGAGGGGTTTCACAGAGGAAAAAAAAGACCCTGGTGGCACACCTGTAATCTCCGGAGGCTGAAATCTGAGGCTCCCAATTTCCTAGCCAGCTGGGCCAGGAAAGTCCTTGAAACTTATCTCAGTTCATCTAGCCAAAAAAGCCCAGAGTGAATCTGTGTCTCAGATGGTAGAGCACTACGAGCAAAAAAAGCCCAGGCACTAAATTCAGGCCCCATGACTGGCACCAGAAATGGGGTGAGGGGATGAGTAAAGTTTTGCTGCTCATAAGGTTAGCCAAAATGACCCCCATGTGCTCATCCTAGATGCCATGAACACAGGTTTGGGGCCTACAAGTAGGGACAGCTAGAATTCTCAGAAGTGCAGTTTGGTAGGCAACAGTGGTTAAAGAATAGTGATTTCTACTCAGTGAACAGCAACTAACAATACACTGTGTTGATTTGGAGATTTGCTTCTAAAAAATACCTACACAGCTAGTACTAGCTCGTATAATTGTTAGAAAATGTATGATCGCTCAGTAATTCGATGCTTAGCTGCTTCTCTGCTGTTGGCCAAAAAAATATTGTACATAAGGCTAATGGTTGTGATGCTGGTAAGTTTTTAAGGAACTGAAGAAGTTCTGAAAGACTGATAAACCTTCATCCATCAAACTCTGTTGAGAGAAGCCTCTGCACCTTGCATGATGCAGTATTCACGTACTCTGCAGGTGTTTTGCAGGCTGCTTTGAAGATAGACCACATTATGTATGGGATTTTTAGTGTGCTCCTTTGAAAACACTGGGTTTTCAATGCAGAGTTTTATGAGGTCATGTCACTCAATGCCCAGGAGTATGTAATTCCCACACCATTGAGTGATCTACTTAAAATGTGGGCGCCTGACCTGCAGTCTCCCATGGTGTGCTGTGTTACAAGGCCTGATGTTTCAGTCCAGTGAGATCCCCAGGTAGATAGCACGTTCATGGAGCAGTACACTTCTGCTGCTGCTTCTCTTGGAGAATTGCTTCTTCACTCCATGTGTTGGTGTTCCATGAAAGTTTTCAACTTGCCACTTGCTTGTTGCAGGTTCATTTGTTAAGAAGAGGCTTGGCTAGAGCGTCAGAGTGAACTTCTTCAGCTGCTTGAAGCTTACTGCATTTCAGAGGCACAGCCATGAGCCACTTTAATAAGGAAGAGGTTGACTGCCATGTCCTTGATGAAGGCTTCACTGCCAAGGACATCCTGGACCAAAAAATTAATGAGGTTTCTTCTTCCGTAAGTCTGTGAGGCATGTGCCGTGATGGCAGCAGTTGGCACACCTGGCTTGGGGAAACAGCAGTGTGGTCTTGGAAAGAAAATGTAGTGATGTAATAAAGCCTATGTGTCTTGTTTTTGTGCCAGTATTGGGATTTGAACTCAGAGCCTATTACACTGTCCCTGGGGTTTGTGCTCTACCACCTGAGCCACACAGCTCTACTTCCAGCTTTTTTGGTGGTTAATTGGAAATGAGAGTCGCATGGACTTTTTGCCTAAGCTGGCTTTTTGAACCACAGTCCCCAGATCTCAGCTTCCTGAACAGCTAGTATTATAGACCACTCACTAGTATTACAGACCACTCACTAGCACCCAGCCAGAACATCCATGTGTTGTTAGGGAATCTAGAGTTTAACTGGCTGTGGACTGCCCAATGCTAATGGTGACCACACGTCAGTGGCTATGATCTGATGGGTTCATTGAATGCTGGGAAGGAAAGGGAGAGAAGAAGCACCTGTTATGGCTGCATGACTGTTAACCTTCCTGTATCCTTTATCATTGCAGGATGACAAGGATGCCTTTTACGTCGCAGACCTCGGAGACATTCTAAAGAAACACCTCAGATGGTTCAAAGCTCTTCCCCGAGTCACTCCCTTTTATGCAGTCAAATGTAATGACAGCAGAGCCATATTGAGCACCCTGGCCGCCGTCGGCACCGGCTTTGACTGTGCCAGCAAGGTAAGCAAAGAAAAGCAGGTCTTTAGAGGTTTTTCTAGACTGATGGTCCTGTGTTGGTGGGGTGGTAAGAGTTGCTTTGCCTCCTATTTATTGTGTTTACCAGTCCCCACACACAGGAAGCCTGACACTGATGAGTCTTTTTTTCAGACTGAAATACAGTTGGTGCAGAGCCTGGGGGTGCCTTCCAACAGGATCATCTATGCGAACCCTTGTAAGCAAGTGTCTCAGATCAAGTACGCGGCCGGCAGCGGAGTGCAGATGATGACTTTCGACAGTGAAGTGGAGCTGATGAAAGTGGCCAGAGCACACCCAAAGGCGAAGTGAGTGCCCCTGGCGCGGCGGCGCGGGGCTCGAGGCACGCAGCTACCAGTTCACAGCGCTGCACCTGACAAGAGTTAAAAGCCACGGCAGCTCCAAAGCCCGAGTGTCTAGCAGCGGTACTGGGCAATTTCTCTTGATTCTTTTGACCTTGGCTCTTCTCACTTCCAGGCTGGTTTTGCGGATTGCCACTGATGATTCCAAAGCAGTCTGTCGCCTCAGTGTTAAATTTGGTGCCACACTCAAAACCAGCAGACTTCTTTTGGAACGAGCAAAAGAGCTAAATATTGACGTTATTGGTGTCAGGTAAGATCTTGGCATACTTGGAGGTTAAGACAGTAAGCAATGTAGCCAGTTCTAATGTCAGTCATATGGGGCTTGAACTCGGCCTGGGTGCTGTTCCTCAGCTCTTCAGCTCAAGGCTGTTGCTCTACCACTTGAGCCACAGCATCACTATCAGCTTTTTCTGTGTATGTGGTGCTGAGGAATTGAACCCAGGGCTTCATACATGCGAGGCAAGCACTCTACCACTGAGCACCTACCTCTTTGTTTGTTTGTTTTTGTCATACCTGGGCACTGTCCTGAGCTTCTTTTGCTCAAAGTTAAGTGTTTTACCTTTTGAGCCACAGCGCCACTTCAGGCTTTTTCTGTGTGTGTGATACTGAGGAATGAAACCTAGGGCTTCATGCATGCTAGGCGAGCACTTTACCACTAAGCCACATTCCCAGCCCTCCTATTGGAATTTTGAGAAGCGTAAGACATGGTGTCTGGTTTTCTTCTCACCTCAGCTTCCATGTGGGGAGTGGCTGCACTGATGCAGAGACCTTCGTGCAGGCTGTCTCTGACGCCCGCTGTGTCTTCGACATGGGGGTGAGTACACACGGCCCGTTAGGATATCGGCTCCCAACCCCTGTTTTCCTTTTCCACACATCAGGACCGCACTGCGGTTTCCACGCAGTGACTTGACTTGGGCTTTCTTCACTCTAGGCTGATTTTGGCTTCAGCATGCATCTGCTTGACATTGGTGGTGGCTTCCCTGGATCTGAGGATGTGAAGCTGAAATTTGAAGAGGTAAGATAAATAGGAAAAGTCATTGTTTGGTGTAACAGTGACTTCTGTCGTATTTAAACCTACTTGATAGTATTTTCTTCTCCCCTTTGTGGTTCTGGAATTCAAACTCATCTACTTACTTAGAGGCCAGTGCCTTTACTGCTGAGCCATATCTCCAGCTTCAGTTTTTTTTGCCTGTGCCTGAGCATCATCTGCTTATTTAGGCTTCCTAACAGATCTTGTCTAGCTGGGGTAACAGGTGTGGTACCATTCCTAGCCCTGAGTCAGTCCCCCTCTCCGTCCCCCCCCCCCCCCCCCCCCCCCCCCCACCAACTCCCGGTCTGTTGTGGGGCTTGAACTCGGCCTGGGCGCTGTCCCTCACCCCTCAGCTCAAGGCTAGCGCTCTACTACTTGAGCCACAGTGTCACTTCCGGTTTTCTGGTGGTTTATTGGAGATAAGAGTCTCCTGGACGCCCAGGCTGGTTTTGAGCCGCAATCCAGATCTCAGTCTCCTGAGTAGCTAGGATTACAGGCTTGACCCACCAGTGCCCAGCAAGTCTTTGAGATAGTGATTACACATTAGGAAATTATGCTACGCCTAGTGGTAGAGTGCTTGCCTAGCATGCAGGAAGCCTGGGTTCGATCCCTTAGTACCACAAACACAAAAAGCCAGAAGTGGTGCTGTGGCTCAAGTGGTAGAGTGCTAGCCTTGAGCAAAAGAAGTTCGACAACAGTGCCCAGGCCCTGAGTTCAAGCCCAGGACTGGCTAAATAAATGGACGCTGTTACAGTTGTGTGGCTTAGGCAGAGTTGAAAGTTGTTTTTTTGTTTGTTTGTTTTTTGGGGGGGCGGGGTGGGGGTCGGTTGTGGGGCTTGAACTCAGGCCTGGGCGTTGTCCCTGAGCCTATTTATTGTCAAGGCTAGTGCTCTACCCCTTTAGCCACAGCACCATTTCTGGCTTTTGAGTGGTTAATTGGAAATCAGAGATTCATGGGGACTTTTTTTCTGCCAGAGCTGGCTTTGAACCTCCATCCTCAGGTCTCAGCCTCCTTATAGCTGGGATCACTGGCATGAGCCAAGAGTGTCCAGCTGCAAAGCTCTTTCTAAATACCATATTGGCCTATATTTGCTAAACAAGGCTTTTTGGCGGGTGGACACTTGAGTGTAGTAGTTTATGCTGTACTGTTATTGGCTAAAAGCCTGCCCAGGACATGGGGAAGGGTAGAGATGGTACCAGGTGGGAAGCAAAGTGGGCACTAGAGCTATGCAGGCTGCTATCCAGGGACATGTTTGCAGACCTGCAACCTTCCTTCCCCAGATGAATTCCTGTAATGAAAGGTTACTTTCTCCTGTGCATTAGATCACCAGCGTGATCAACCCAGCCCTGGACAAGTATTTCCCATCAGACTCTGGAGTGAAGATCATAGCAGAGCCGGGCAGATACTATGTTGCATCTGCTTTCACACTGGCAGTTAATATCATTGCCAAGAAAATCGTGTGGAAGGAGCAGAGTGGCTCTGACGGTATGCATGATGACTGGGAGAGGCGTGGCACGGGCACCTAACTGCACGTTAGGGCAAAATGTGGTAATGTGGATGAATCTGTTTCTCTAGATGAAGATGAGCTGAATGAGCAGACTTTTATGTATTACGTGAATGATGGCGTATACGGGTCCTTCAACTGCATCCTTTATGATCATGCACATGTGAAGCCCCTGCTGCAGAAGAGACCCAAGCCCGATGAGAAGTACTACTCGGCCAGCATTTGGGGACCCACGTGTGATGGCCTTGATCGCATTGTTGAGCGCTGTGACCTGCCCGAGATGCACGTGGGTGACTGGATGCTCTTTGAGAACATGGGTGCCTACACCGTTGCTGCCGCTTCGACTTTCAATGGCTTCCAGAGGCCAACGATCCACTACGTGATGTCACGGCCCATGTGGTGAGTGAGGCCCAGCTGTAGAGCATTTGTGCCTGGGTTCAGTCCCCAGCACCAAGCTAAAAGGTCACAGGCAGGGGTCACAGAAAGAGAAGAGGTACCTTATTGAATTTGTGTTTGCCCTTCCTTGTCTAATTGAGTAAGAAATCATTTATTTGCCTTGGATTGAGTTACATACAGGAAATTCCTTTGATTGTACTGGTCTGTATTTCTTGTTTTTTTTTTTTCCCTAAGAAAAATAGAACTGAAAGCAATTTCTAGTGAATAGCTCATGCCTGTAATATTTAGAGTAATGTGAGCTCGTGTGTGGAGTTTCCTCGTTACCAGCACTTGCTTGAGAGATCTGTTCAGTTAGTTGATTGCTAATGGTGTAGAAACCAAGGAAAGAAAACTCTGGTGAATAATTGTTCTGAAAGACCGCCCCCCGGGGAGCGGCAGGGTTCTCAATGTACCTCTTCTTGTCTCAGGCAAGTCATGCAGCAAGTCCAGAAGCACGGCTTCCCGCCTGGCGTGGAGGAACAGGACGTCAGCACGCTGCCCCTGTCCTGCGCGCAGGAGAGCGGCTTGGAGCGGCGCCCGGCGGCCTGCACTTCTGCCAGTATCAATGTGTAGAAACTTCTTGTAGCTGTCAAGTGCAAGTGTAGCTTGAATTAAGGGATTTGGGGGGACCACTTAACTTAATTACTGCTAGTTTGAGCATCTTTGTAAGAGTAGGGCTGGCACAGATGCAGCAATAACGGAAGACTAGGAGAGGGGGGGGTCACACTTTTCTGTGTTCCTATGGAAACTATTTGCATATTTGTTTTCTATGGATTTTTATTCACTTTTCCAACATGCTCTAAAGAGTGCCCCTCGGCTGCCCAGCAAGCGTTTGTAGCTTGTACAATGGCAGCGAGGGTCAGAAGCTTAGTGTTGGGACTTGTTTTGAAAATAAAGTATCTTGAAATAATGAGACAGTGGACGAGTCGTGCGTCCATCAAAGTGTGTGCCTGTGCTGTGGGGTCGCTGGTCCCACCTACGTGGAGAGGAGCGGAGGGCGAGCGAGACAGCCATGTCCTGACTGTCCAGCACAGATGGACGTGCGCTCAGCCACGGCTGCGCGGGCTGCTGGCCTGGGGTGGCCTGGCCAGCGCCCCCTCTCACCTTCACTCTCGTCACCAGTTGCCATCAGTGACTGCGTTGGTAGGGGCTTTACCTTCTCTGACCTTGATACTGGCCTGTGCATGCTTTTGACTCAGCTTGTACCTCTGCTTTCCCAAAAGGTGGCCGACTCACACAGACTGCTGCTAATTCCAGCTTTTTGAACTCCTTAAGCCACCTTCCCAGCCCCCTATACGAATTTTTTTAAAGCAGCAAGGTGCCAGTGGCTCATGCCACCAGCTACTCAAGCTCAGTCCTTGAGTCTGAAAGCGAATGGACAGTGCCCAGGCCCTGATGTGCACCCCTCCCCCCACCCCCCCACAATAACCACTCTGAGCATTGTGGAGTCTTGCAGCCCTACTGGAGGGACAGAAAGATGAAGTGGAGGCTGGGAAGGTGGCTCAGTGGCAGAATGCTTGCCTCGCATGCATGAGGCCCTGGGTTCTATCCCTCAGAAAAGCCAGGAGTGGCGCTGTGGCTCAAGTGGTAGAGTGCTAGCCTTGAGCTGAAGAGCTGAGGGACAGCGCCCAGGCCCAGAATTCAAGCCCCACAACCAACAAAAAAAAAGTGGAGGGCTCCTGCCCCCCGGAGGAGTCTGTCCTGAGGGCGGGGGGGGGGTGGAAGGGGGGCGGGAGAGCATTCCCTCACCATGCAGTGCGACCTAAACAGGCTGCTGGCCAGCCCTGGTTGTTTCTTTGACTATGAAGACTCGGAGCTGTGGCGCAGGGCCATCACTGGAGGTGGGCATGGTGGGAAGGAGAAAAGCTGTGGCAGCGCCGCACGGGCCAGGCTTCTGCAGTGGGCTCTCCTGTCATGAAGGAATGGCAGTGATGTTTATTCCACAAGTCTGAGCTAGACACCGAACCCTGGGGAATGTAGGCCTCCATTTTAAAAAGATCCACAGGGTCCACTTGATAAGAGTTTACATTGAAAGGGCAGAAGTGTTCGCCCAGAAGGACTCTGGCGGCTTGGAGACCACCGCAGCCCATGAGTGCTGTGACAGGAAGGGCTGGAAGCTTCCTAGCTAATCCCATCCTCCTGTCACTGTCCAGCACAGCTCCTGTCCAGCCTGGCCCAGCCACTGGGCCCAGTGTGTCCAGATGCTGGCAAAGCTACACATGGCCCGGGGACCTCTCCCTGCCCTTGAGTGTGGAGGTAGACAGTGGGCGTGGCTAGGGATGCCAGAGGCTACAGCTGGCCAGCCACTCTGTCCAGAGCTGCTCGGCCAGTACCAGCACTGCCCTCCAAGCTCTTAGGTTCTCATTTGCAGGTGTGTGGAGGTAGCGCTTCTGCCCGCTTGCAATACTAGAATGTCTACATCTAGGATATGAGGCTGGTGCAGCCCACCCAGGATACTGGTACAGACTGCCTGGGGGTGCTGGGGACCCCTGGCAGGCTCCTCTTCTACAGGCAGGGAGCCCATACCACTGTGACCTTGATAGCTCAAGGTCAAGTTTGCTGGACTTCACCTCAGACTAGATGGGGTAACTATTGGCAATGGGGTAATTGCCACGGATAAAAGTTTCCAATACGACGGATTGGAAGCATTTGAAATCAAAGGGACCAAAGGAAAATGGAGGCTGGGCTCACGCCTTAATCCTAGCTACTCGGGAGGCTGAGATCTGAGGATGGCGGTCCAAAGCCAGTCTGGGCAGTAAAATCTCTTATCTCTAATTAACCACTAGAAAACTGGAAGTGGCACTGTGGCTCAAGCGGTAGAGCATTTGCCTTGAGCTAAAGAGCTGAGGGACAGCGCCCAGGCCCAGAGTTCAGGCCCCATGACCAGACCCCCCCAAAAAAACAAAACCTGCTTATGTGGTGCTGAGGAATGGAACCCAGGGCCTCATGCATGCAAGGCAAGCAAGCGCTCTACCACTGAGCCACCTGCCCAGCCCAATGTAGGATTGTTGTCTGAGGCCAATCCGCAAAAACATAAGACCCTAGATGAAAAACTAAAGACGGAGATGGCATCGTGGCTCAGTGGTAGAATGCTTGCTTGCCTTGCATGCATGAGGCCCTGGGTTCCATTCCTCAGCACCACATAAGAAAAAAGCCAGAAGCGGTGCCGTGGCTCAAGTGGTAGAGCGCTAAACCTTGAGCTGAAGAGCTGAGGGGCAGCGCCCAGGCCCAGAGTTCAGGCCCCAGGACTGACAAAAAACAAAACAAAACAAAAAAAAAAAAACTAGAAGACAAAGTAGTGCTGTTGCCCAGTGATTCAACCCCCTGTACTGCCAAAACCAACAAAACTTTTTGTTGTTGGTCAAGAGGCTTGAACTCTGCTTGGGCGCTGTCCCTCCGCTCTTCAGCTCAAGGTGAGCACTCTACTGCTTGAGCCACAGTGCCA